GAGACACGCGGCCGGAGGTCTGATGAAACAACTACAAAGTCGATCATCGACCGCCGGCCTAGGGTGTCCTGGTGCCACGTGCACATGTGGACATCCTTGTGCTCGAACATGGTGTTCGTGATGGACAATCCGTGACTAGCACAGAAGTCCAGCAACAGAACACCGCTCGGGTTCAGATCAGACAGTTTCCAGGATTTCATACTTCTGTTAATAAGAGGTTTCAGTTTTTCGCTTTGGCATGATTACTTATCGACTGTTAATGATGAGGAAAGTGTCCAGTTTATTAATTTGAAATACAGTCTACAACACAGTGAAGTGTGCAAAATGGGATTCTTTCTGATACTTCCAGAACTGACTGTACATCTTCAGTTGCAGCCTGCTCTGACAAAGTGTTATTTTCCTGAGGTAGTGTTCATTAAGTTTTTTATCTTGGACATTGTGCTTTACTACTTTCAGATTGTTTTGATTGGTGACCACAAACAGCTACGACCCATTGTGATGAATCAGCATGCAAAGAAGCTTGGGATGACTAAGTCTCTGTTTGAACGCTACTATGCAATCCATGAGAAACGGGCAGTGATGCTGGATACCCAATACAGAATGGTGAGGATGTTAAATAGGCACTATATATTCAACTTCAGTGAACAGTGTGTGTGATATATACATATATATATACGTGTGTGTGTGTGTTTTACTTTGATAGCATCAGGACATATGTGAGTTCCCATCCAAAGAATTTTATGAAGGAAAGTTGAAAACTGGGGTGGAGCAGCCGAGCAGTGTCCTGCGTGTTGACGACAGGGTGATGCCAATTGTTTTTGGGCACGTTAAAGGAGAGACCGCCTGTCTGGTTATCAAGACTTCCAAGGGCAACAGCAACTCCAAAGCAAATCGGGAAGAGAGAGACAAAGTGGTACGGTATTGGGCACCCTCACTTTCCTGTTTAACGTCTAACAATGAGACATGAAAGTTGTGTTTAGTTATATTTACCATGTAGCTGAATTTAGTCATTAGCGCTTTTCAGACATGAGATATGTAACGTTGCTGGTTTCAGCATTCTGTTAAAATGATGGCATTCTGTTATTCAGACATGGACTATTTTTATAGTGATGTTGCTCACCTCTTCTTTCAGACAGTATGGTATATGTGTTATACATGCGAGGTTGGACAGTATGTCCAGTGCTGCATAATACATTTATGATTTTCAAAAGACATGAAAATTCAGTCCATGTGTGAGGACAATCTAACTACTACTTCATCAGCAGAAAAGTAAAAATATCCCAACAGCTGTGATAGAGTTCAGAACTCTATGAGGTCCCTATTTAAACATTTAACTGCAGTTATTCACATGTGTAAATGCACAGAACTCCTACTTTAGAGATGCTCAAAGGAAAGACCTTTACATACAGCTGGAAGCATTAACTGGAATTCAGCTCCTGTTTGTGAAAAGCTGGCTAACATGCATTATTGCAGCATCTCATTCATCTGATTTGTTCATCTCTGTCTTCATCACAGTTTTCTTTTGTTTTTCTGGAGTTTGCAATAGATGTGAAACTATGGAGTAAAATGTATGTGAAAGAAGTCTATGATGTCTATGATGGTGTTATAAAAAAAAACAATCTTCCCCAAGTCCCTCCAGACAACTTAAAGTACAGTGTAATTTTGTGTGTGTCTATCCGTTAATGTGATTGGGTGCGGTTCAGAGTTGTGTTGTACTGAAAGAGATAAGGAAATGTTAGTTGGTTCAACCTAGAAAGATTGCTGTTGCAGCTTTTAGGGCATACTGGCGCCTTCAGAAATTAAGTCAAAATGTTTAGATGCCATCAGATTAACCAAAAAATAAATAAAAAATGCATGTCTGAAAGGAGCTGTTTTATTCAGTGATACTTAGTCCAACTGTTTTCAGTTACTGACTTGTTTCTTTTGCAGATTGAGATTGCCAAAATGCTGGTGAAGAAGGCCAAAGTTGACCAGAAAAGCATTGTGATTCTGTCACCCTATAATGCCCAAGTATCAGAAATCAGAGATGAGCTGAATAAGGCGAAATTGCACGAAATCACAGCAACCACGATCACAAAAAGCCAAGGTGACAATATACCTCTCTACCGCCACACCTTTTGTGTGTATTGTGTTGTGCTGCAACTCTGCAATTTCAAAAAAGATTCTTTCCTGTCGAAGTAAAAACAGATTTCTCCAAATACTGTCGATTAATTTAAAAGGTAATGTCAATTCATTTCAAATGTAAAATGAGTGACTGCATAAATTATTACCCCCTTCGTGGCTTGCAGACTGGATCAGGTTATCCTCAAGGATGTCCCTTCTACTTTCACAAGTATTCCAGGGTCTGCTGCTAAGAAGCATCCTGACATCATATTGCTGCCACCACCATGCTTCTTGGTTGGGATGGTGTGTTTGTGATGATGTGATGTGTTTGGTGTCTGGCAAACATTAAGTCTGAATGACCAAACAGCTCAACTGTGGTCTCTTCAGATTAAAGAAGCTTCCTCCAGTTTACTTCCCAGTCTCCCACTTACCCTCTGGTGAACTCTTGTCAAGATTTAATATGAGCTTTTTTCAACAGTTGCTTTCTCTCACCACTCCCATAAAGCTTTGATGGGTGAAGAACCTGAGCAACAGTTGTTGTATCCCCAGTCTCTCCCATCTTAGCCACTGAAGCTTGTAAATCCTTCAGAAGAGTCATCGGTGTCTTGGTGTCCTCCCTCACTAGTCTCTTTTTGCACAGTCACTCAGAAAACAGCCTGGGCTAGATGTACATATCATATTTCTTTGTCGGATCAACCGAGTATAACTGATGTTAAAAAAGAGGAAAAGCCGATTTTAATCTCCCATTTGTATATCTGGAATTTCACACATTTAAACCCTTTTCAGACATGGAACATGGAACATTGCTGGGTTCATCAATCTGTTAAAGTTACAGTATTCTGCCATTCAAGCCCCTTTCAGGGTCACTTGTCAATGTTCCTCATGTCTGCATTCACAGACACCGGAGAGCACTGACAATTATAAGAATTTAATTAAATAATCGCCGCTGTTGTTCTGTGTGCAAATATGCGCAACTCTTTCTCTTTGGGGATGCTCATATGGATCCTGCTGCTGTCTGATGCTGCAGGTAGTCAACAAACTCAGAGCCAATACAGCTGGAAGAAACAAAGTTCAACTCCTCTGAATGTCTTGCAAAAAAAAAACAAAAAACAAACTTGGATTCCTTTCAATTTTACTGAGGTCTTTCATCTTTAAGCTGCTAGTGTCTGTTTTCATTGCAGTAAGATTTTGTTTCAAAGGGACATTTCATTTAGTTGCCTAATAGATTTAAAATTGTGTGTGGAAAAGGGTGTGTTGTGATTTTGGCAAACTAACTGGGAATTCCGCATCTCTGTGATGTTTTTAGATAATTATTGATGCTGAAGTGTGGACAAATCTGTCCTGAAATCACTTCACACACAAAGTAGTGCTGCTCGTGCATTCACTGCACTCAGATGATCTCCATTTAACTAATTGTGAGACTTCTAGTTCCAATAGGCTTCACCTGTGTTGAATCAGGTGAGCCACTTCAAAGGAGGTGAATGCTTATGCCATCACTTATTTTACATTTAGTATTTCTAGTTTAGGAAAATTCTCGTCAACAAAGCCGAACTGAATTGACAATGATTTAATATTAAAAAGCAACAAAAGTGGAAAGCCTTGAAGGGAGGATGAGTAATTTGATAGGTACTACCTATAATTTGATAAGGAAGTAGTCATCGGTGTAATCGGGTCCTAACTGAATCTAAATGGGTGTAAGTTAAACAACCTCAAAGGGAAAAATATTTTTGACAAGTCAAGCAACACAAACTAATGTTTGCAGTTTCCTTTACCTAACAGACACTGGGCCCGACTGTAGTCTGGAATTGGTTTCCTCCATCTAATTTACACATTTAACTTTCAGTGTAGGGGAGGATGATTTTGAACTAATGCCCAGCTGAGGTCAGACAGATCTCCCACGTGATAATTGGCAAAAGACTGTCGGCTTGTTTTAATGTTATTGCAGTAGTACAATATTTGTCCATATATTTTGTGGGTAACGGTAATCATAAATTACACTAAACGCTGTTAGAATTTAAACTAAGCCAAAGGACTGAAGAACTATATTGTATAGCCAAAGTAGAACTACACCAAGGAAACCCTGCTTTTTTTTGTCTTTGTCAATGTTTCTGTATTTAAATAGTCACTGGACAAAATAGTGACAATAATGTGTGCAGGTCTATCAGTATTTTTTAGCAATAACAACATTAATAAGTGTTTCCTAAGATTTCAGTATCCTGAGTTAAACTATACATTGGGAAACATTGTAGTAATAGTGTTAAATAAGTGAACTGAAACCGTTTTTATTTTAAAGCTTGGCTTACCCCAATGGTGTGAAATGTTTGATGCCATTTTCAAACATTTTGAAGAAAAAGTCAAATAGGTGATCATTAAAATAGTTAATGCAGCTGCCAGATAACTGTAGTGAAATTAAATGAAAACAGTATTTTACTAAAGACATTGTTGAGGAAAGCTCACGACTCAAGTATGAACATTTTGTCTTCTAGGAAGTGAATGGCGCTACGTCATTATATCTACAGTGTGCTCCCTTCCAAGTGAAGAGATTGTGAGTGACCCAGATGGAGCATGGTTGTCCAAACATCTGGGCTTTGTAGGGGATCCCAACCAGATCAACGTGGCAATCACCAGGGCCAAGGAGGGACTGTGCATTATAGGTGAGAAAGCTGTTTTATTTTCTTCTTTACATGCTAATGCTAGACACTTAAATAACTCGTGACTGAGGGTAACTTCTGTTGTCACCTGGGCTGCAGGACTGATGGCTGTCCTCCAGCACCGTCATGACGTTTGTGGTTTTTAAGTGAAATGTCTTAACAGCTATTGGAGGGATAGACTTGTCACCACTTGTCATGGAATGAAAAGCACAGATGGAATTTGTTTTGAAGTGTCCCATTAACTCATGACAGTGAAGCAGCACGGACAAGAATGCAGCCATCGTTTCTGCACAAGTGTTTTTTCTTACTATGAGAAAAAATATTCTTACATGTCAAAATGTCAGACATTTATGTCTCTCCTCAGGAAGAATGGCAACAACTTTGGTGATGTAGCACCACTAGCAGATCAGAATTTGGTTTGGATGCTACTTGTGCAGCAGTTGTACTTTACTTCTGAGGCAAATTAGTAAATATTAGCATGGTAACATACTAAACTGAGATGCTGAACGTGGTAAACATGCCTGCTTAACATTAGAACATCAATCTGTTAATGGTATTTGAGCTAGTTTAGCCTCATCACTGGGTGGGAAAATTCTCACCTGGTTTAGAAAAAAAAAAAAGATCTGTGAAGTGACTTTGATAGCATCCGTTACAACCCTTTCAATAACTCATCTTGCTTGTTGATTGAAAGACAACACGGTTATTCTGAAAATTCTAATGTACTTCCACTATTACTCAGGGAGGGTTTGTTTTTTTTGTTATTGCTCTCCTAGTGTAACATCAGAATGAAGTCCATATTTTCTTGTTTTCCTACCTCTTCTCTCAAAGGAAACCAAAAGTTGCTCAGGTGTAATCGAACATGGCAACATCTCCTGGACCGCTACAAGCTTCACAGTGCAGTGACAAAGGCAGACAAGATTTCAGTTCACTGTGGCAGCAGCTGATTCCGCTGCCTTTTGTTCGAGCAGCACATCAGCGCTCCTGTACTGATGACACTACTGACAACAGCACAATGTCTTGAAACATGTATGTTTTTGTTGTTATTGTAGTAGTTATATTCTGAGTATGTATTTCACAGCACTATTTTTTGTATTCTGATGTACATATTCTCTTCTCTTTAAAATGTATTTGTTCTTTTTTTTGTATCACACATTCCTAATCTTAACTTTGGGCAGCTGACAGAACACTGAGTTTAGCTTTTGCTATCAGGGTCTTTTTAATCAATTGTTAGCTACAGTGGAATAATTTAGAATTAATATTGTATGAAATTGCCTCCAGTGAGCCATTTGTTCCTGTCTATAAATGAAGACAGCTGCCTCAGTCATTGTTTTCTAGAAATGATATCACATAATGTTGTTCTTGGTAACTTTTATTGTTGTTTGTTCAGGGATCAGCTTTATTTGAATTTTCTTTATTGTGAAAAGTTTTTATTGTTTGTGTCATTTTTTTTTTTTTTCCTTTTGTACATTCAGTGACTTTTAGAAAATGTAAATATGTGTAAAAACATTAAAAATGATTTGTTAATGCTTTCATTCTTCAGGTCTTTTGGAACTTTCTTTCTTTGTGGCAACTAGCTGAAGAAAAGGGTTTAGTGACACAGTGTACACATAATCAAAAGAAAGACACGCAATCACCTGACCTTTACTTAGTGCTTGACTCATTATA